GCCCCGGCTCTTTAAAAAAAAAAAAAAAAGCCCAGAGTCACCAGTTCCTGGTAGGTGGGGGTGATCTCTGCTGCCCCGTGCTGCATGGAGGGCTCTGCCATGAGCCCCCAAAAGCCCTGAGGCTGCTGCAGCAGTCAGTGTGTGTGGGGGGTGAGAGAGTGAGTGGGGGCTGAGAGGCTTGTAGCAGACCCCCCACACATAGCATGGGGCAGTGGGGGACAACGGGGTTTGCCGCCCCACGTGGCAGTAGCCAGTGAGTGGTGGCTTTCTTTTAAAGAGCCAGGAGCTGGGGTCAGACAGGCAGCCGTAGTGGGGGCTGGGAGAGTGGGCGGAGGTTGCGGGGCACTCAGAGGGGCTGGGGGAGCAGGCAGGGAATAGGGCCTGGTGGGGGGTCCCCCCATGGTCCCCTTTCCTCTCTGCCAGCCCTTTCCCCCCCCCGCCCCTTACTTACCAGCATGGAGTCTGGGTCCAGATCCCTGCTGCAGCAAGCGGGGACTGCCCAGATCACTGAAGCTCTCCGAATCTTTTCCAAATCAATTCAGAGAGCTTCAAGTTGATTCAGACTTTTTAACTGGTGTCCTGATTTGATTCAGATTCAGAGATTCGGACACCGAATTAAGCCGAATCTCTTCCAAATTGAATCAGCACCTGAAGCTTCGCACAGCCCTAGTTTGCAGGCTAGTCAGTATGTTTGCTATGGAAAGCCTCTTAGTTCCTGCACTCCAGTTCTCCTGGTTCCTGACCCTGGTTTTTAGACTCTCACTTTGTATTTCCCTGTGGATCTGTTTCCTCATTCCTGACCCTGGTTTGGCTCTGTTTTTGGATTTTGCCCTGTGGATTGCCCCTGGATTGTGTTGTGAAATCGACTTGTGGATTTCCTTCTGGTTTTGGTAGATGGTTCTCGTTCCCAGCCTCAGGCCCCTGCTTTCCCTCAGTGGTCTAACATAGGCTACACTGCCTATGCCCCAGTCCCTTATAATCCCCGATACAAAAGCAAACTTAGAAATATGTTCTGCAGTTACTAAATGCTGAATGCTGAAATGTGTGTTCATCTAAATCACCATCAAAACATGTTGACCAAAGGGATTGAGTAGCAGGTGAAAAATAGGCCCACAGGGTGCTCTGCTACTTTACAATCATCTAAGTCCCATTTGTTTATCTGGCAGTGATTACTGTGCATATTATTGTTCGTGGTCCTGGTTGTATTGATGGAGCCTTCTATCAAGTTGAATAGGCAAAGTAAGCTGATTACTAGAAGTTTGAAGTCAGTGGTCATAATGCCATGATTGACAAGTGCCAAGTCTAGCATCTCAAGAAGCAGGGATGTGTTTTTTGGCTGGGTAGGCAGACTGCTGACTGGATGGAACAAGGAATTTGACTATAGCACCTGTTGAAGATTTCTTCCCTTCTATTAGCATTGCTTGGGACCCATTGGGATTCAGGCAGCAATCTAAAGACCTCATGCCACATTCCACTTTAAATAAACAGATATACAAGCGCAAAGTACTAATCCAGTAGCTTTGTTCCAAAATCCCTGTTGTTCCACATGTGCACTCCCAGTAAAATATACAACATGTACAGTAAAATATACCAGCATTTATTTAGTGCAGCCCTCTGGTCCCGCAGGCCAGATGAGTGTAACAGGGCTAGTTTGAAGGCTGCATCCTGCAGGTGGGGGTCTCTCCATGCCCTGATCCAACACGGGGTTGGTATGGGGGGGTCAGTCTGTGGATGCCATACATTAATTGACACGCTCAATTTTATATTTAATTTATATAAAATAAAATGTATTTAATTATATTTAATTCTTTCACAAATGACCCTGAAGAACATACATAAATTGTTAGGTTTCAAAACACAATTTGTCTAGAACAGTGGCTTTCAAACTGTGGTCTGCAGACCCCCGGGGATCCATACACTATGTCTAAGGGGTCCACAAAGATGACTATGATTAATCAAAAGTATGTGAATACCCACATTTACAATTCAAAGGGGTCTGCAGCTCCATTCACATTTTTTAGGGCTCTGCAAACGAAAAAAGGTTGAAAACCACTGCTCTATAAGTTCCTAAAGGGGAATCAAGACTCCTGGGGTTTATTTCCATCTCTGCCACTATCCAACTGCACTTTAGTAGGTCTGTCACTTTTAAAATGAGGTTGAGATGATATATCCATATGTTGCAAAGGTAATGTCAGGTTTAAATATTTAGCATGTAACCCTGTGAAACCCTATATGCATGCAATTCTCATTGACTTAATTGAAGATCTGTGCATGGAGAGTTTCAAGAATGGGTCTTTAAAGTAAGTAAGAGAATTTTGAATGAAGAAGATACAGTATTGCAAAGTTGTGAAGAATTTTTAAATATAAACTTGTTTTCAGTTTGTTCTGCACTTGGATTGAAGGGAACAATAAAGTATCACAAAGAGAGATAGGGAAAAATAGACAGAAGAAGGAGAAGATTGAAGAGAGGGGAAAAAAGTCCTTATTAGATAAACTTCAATCTGCAAAAGTCTGAAAGGTCAAAGTTTAATTCTAGTAAAAATAATATTTACACTAGTAATTTAAAAAAAATAGAATTTGATTAAATTATTATTGCTGTAAATAATAATTTTATTCCATTGACAGTAATGGTTAGAGCAGTTTGAGGGGAAAATATGAGTTATTTTTGGGATTCCAGATATGCAGCCCCTGGGGCTGAATAAATCAAGTGAGCCTGCTTGCACTGAAGGCAATGGCAAAACTTCTATTAAGTAAAATCAGGGTGGGGTCTAATATCCCTACAGTGCATGCTACAGTAAGCAACAACATCTTATCAGAAAGATTTTTCTTGATGTTCTTTTACTACTACTCAGCTTGAAATAACCCATTTCCATTTAAAAATGTGCTGAGGTTTTGTGAAAACATTGAACTACCCTTTTTTTGTTAGGTAGGAAAACAGAAACAAACACCAACCCCCAAAAATTGTGTGATAGGAAATATTGTCCCTGAACTGTGTTTTTATTTTCCTTTGGCTTTATTTCAGCTGTGGGACCCAGCTGCTCCAGAGAGTGTGGGAAGCTGACTTGGAGGCCTGTCAGCTGTTGATCCGAGGGTTTCAGCTGAAAGAAGCTGGTTGCTGTGTTTCTGAGGAAGACAAGAACCAAGCAGATGAGATGGAGGCTGCAGCTGATGGCTGCTTGGATCCTGAAAAAGGAAGAGAAAATCACATCCCAAAGGGCACAGAGTGGGGCATTTCTCCATGCCCCAAACCCTGTAAGCTGAAAGAGGTATCTGAAATTTCCTGCTGGTTGCGTTCAAGAGCTGCTCTTGTTTTTCATTTGGAGAGGACAGGGGGTGCAACTGGATTATGGGTCAGCAGAGCAGGCTAATATCAATTTTGGATTTGGTCTCAAGAAAGGTCCAAATAAAATGGCTTACTTGCTGTATGAAAACACTTTCAATCTCCTTTTCCTTTCACCATTAATCCTTTTAGAAAAAAGGAGAGAATTCCAGTAACATACATACTGTACAGCTATACTTTATTGAGAAAATATTCCCATGCCATCCATCATTCTTTATATGTTTAACACACAGCATCGGCTGTTTCTCCTCTCACTTACATCAGTTTCACACTGACACCGCTCTATTGACTTTTTACACCTGATTTACATCAGCCTCAGGGAGAAGAGAAGCAAGGTCCCTTATTCCAGTGGCATGTCAGTCTTCCCCTAGCTCAGGCTCTGGCAGGCTTCCAGTTCACATCAAATATTAAAAGGGAAAAATGGTGAGGTGTAAAGGGCTTGACATTTTCTTTTAAGTTTTGTGTTTTGCTTGGAATTTTTGTCTTGCTTAAATATTTACAACTGTCTGGTAATCTTTTAACTGCACTGTAAGGATCAGCAAGCTGTTAAAAAGCATTATCATCTAACCGTGCCAGTATGACAAAACTCCCCCTACCATGAGTTGTTGTCATTTTTATTACCTTGGAATTATGTTGACAAAAATTATATGCGTGCTTAATGGTATATGATGTTTACAGACATTGAACTCTGCACTAGGCAGAAAATTGATACTTAATAGTGCATTTGTACCAACTGAGATTTACCAAAAGCCAGGCCTTTACCCACCCTTCTGGTTTGCAAAATTCTATTTTGATTCAGGCTATAAATGATAATTTCAGCCTTTTGTTTGATACATTTTACACAGCTAGACCAGTTTTCACACAGAGGGCATTTTTATCCTAAATGGCCAGCTGTGGTTTTTATTTTTATCTGCTGCTTTCTCTGTGAATCTGCAAAGATAATGCCAGCAGTCCTGTTGCGTGATAAATGCTTGCTTCCCATTCCAAAAATACAGCATCTGTAGAGGTTTGGGTCTGATGGTAACTGATTTTTCCTGTGGTCGAAGTTAAGATTTGCACAGTCTCTCCAGGGGACTTGGGCAGAACTCCAGGAGAACTAGTCTGTAAATCCCAAATGGTTTAGGGCAGAATTCAGACTAATTCCAAGTTTGATATTAAAGTGTGGGATGGTCTGCAGGAAATGTTGAGGGTGGGCAATGATCACATGGCCCAAAAACCTGGGGAGCCACTGGGTTAGACATTTAAAACAATTAACTCCTCTAAACAGAAGTGTCAGGCAGGGAGCGCATGAATAGTGATAGAAGGCATAGAGCATCTCAGATGCATTCATGTCTCAGAAGTCAATCACGGGCTGGAATATTTAATAAATGTACTATACCTTTCTTTGAGCTTAGCCACAGTGATTTTCTGTTTTGTTTTTTATTTTGGAGAGAAAGAGAGTAAGGCAAAAAAAAAAAAGAGTCTTCTACTCTATAAAAGCATTTATCTGAGAGAGCTGAAACCACTTTCCCAGGATGCAAACTGTGCCTAGTTGTGGAAATTTTGTGGTGGTTTAAAAATAATTCCATGCTTATGGCAAAAACCATTGTGTGGCTTTTAGTGGCTCTAATTTGACCACTGAAAGGATTTTAAGGTCCTTCTTCTGGAACAGCTTAGCGATGACCTTTAATAATCAATCACAAGATAATGATCATGTAACAAGAAATAGAGATTAAAGATATTCACTTAATGGGAGAACGTGCATTTATCAAAATGATTTTATTGGCCTTTAACAGGGTGGTCGAGGGTTTGTGTAAAACGCATTTCTTGGTAAGATTGAGCTCTGTCCCATGAGGGTGGCTGTCTTGTCTCTGCTCTAGGCTATGGGGGATCACATATCCTTTGAAAAGATATCCTCTAATTCCTTTGCAAAGGAAGAGACTTTGTTTAGAGTCTGCAGGATTATTAGAAACTAGTATCAAAGAGAGTCATAGTAATGTGTATAAAACATGCACTTTACATAGAAGTGCTGTACTTACCATGGCAATTGAACTGTATAGCAGAATGTTATAAGTGAATCATTTGTCTTCCAATCACTGACAAAATTTATGGCAAAGTGGGTATTGGTTTCACTGCAGGGCACTATAGATACAATTTCCTTGCATGCAATAATTTTCCTCATGAATTTCATTACAAAACTATTGTTAGGCAGAGGGGTGCACATGAAGGGAAAGGGCAAATATATATTCAGATCCTGCTTGACAATGGAGCCAAGTTTTTGTGTTTATTTTTGTTTTAAAAAAAATAAAGCCTATCCTCAGTAGGTCACGCAATGTCATGTTCCCAATGCCGAGAGTTCAGACTTTGCATTCTTTGAAAGGTCAGATAGTTTTACAAGTTTATTATCTGTAACTCAGCGTTATATTCAGAAGCATAACTGGAGGGCAGGGGGGGAACAGGGACAGTAGCCTTGGATGCTGCCTTTGGAGAGGACGCAACAATAGCTGCTGTTATAGCTGGTGGCTGGTTATGTGACTGTCATCAGCAGCACAGCAGTTGGTGCTGCCCCATGCACTGCCTCTGCCCTGGGTGTAGAGCTGCCATCTTACACCTCTGACTATATTTCTTAAGACAGTGAGAACTTTTACTTCGTAGTTTACTTGTGCTGAAGATTCAGTGGTGTCTCAGAAAAACCCTATCAGCCAACTTTCTCCTGCAGCTCCTGAGCTAGTGAAACGTGTACAAGCTCTGACAACTCTGCTTGCAGAAACATCTTTATTGTTTTTTGCCAGAACTTAAATCCAGTGGAACCATCCAAAAATCATTCTGAAATTGCAGAAACATCCAGAAACAAACAGCACCCTACTGGAACTACCAAGAGCTAATCAGAACAACATAGTTGTCTTTAACTTGCTGGGACAAAGCCATAAACAACACTAACCAGCCTGAATCAAAACAAAGTCCTCTTTCAAGTGGAGGAAAATAGATTCTCATATGCTGATGTGTTGTTCTGCTACCTAGAACCAGAGCTAACTGGTAGAATTAAGTTCCTGCAGGCAAAGGGTGTGGACAGATAAACAAATGCATCTTGAGTTAAAAGGTGGAGTATAGAGAAACTTGCTGCATTTCATCTAATCCTTAGTAACTATACTGTAGGTATGTTGTATCTCCTGGTATGTGGACATTAAACTGGAGTAGCGTACCCCTGAATTAAGTATTTGCATGTTTATTGCAACTATTGTTTAGCTTCCATTTACTGCAGGATAGAGTGGATATGTGAAGTACTTCCTGGATGCATTTACTACCCACTTTACTGTGGATTAAACTAATTAGCTCCTCAGTAAAGTCACTGTCTACACATGTGCCAATATTAAGGCACGGTAAATTAACTCTGCCATAGGATAGTACTGTCAGGGTGTAATTAACTGCAATGAAATGCATGTGTGGATGGTGACTGTGGGCATAAATTGAGCCCAGTCAGCCCAGGCAACAGAGACAAATTCCTGCCCGTCTCCTAGCCATATGCCTCCACACTTTCAGCGTTCTCGTGCCCCAGCCAGCCCCTCTGTCTGATGCTGTAGTGTGGAACTGATCCCTCAAGCCTGCTAGCAGCCCAGGCCTGCTCTGCCCCAGCTCAAATTGCTGCTGTCCTAGGTGCAGGTGTAGATGCTGTAACAGGAGACGTTTACTCAAGCTCGAACAGCTCCAGAGTTTATCTGTTTGCATTAATTGCATGATTAGATGCACCCACTGTGTATCAGCTGATCTGCAGTAATTCCCCCGTTCCCCTTTTTAACATAGTATAATTTGTTTGTCTGTCCACACCCCAACTTGGTTAATACTACTTGGATCCCTATGAATTCAAGGTGAATACATCCTATGAATCCTAGCTTTGTTTTGAAAAATGTCTTCAGTTCTAGCTGACTTTGAGTGATCTTTCCCTTGGTTGTAAGTGAAGGTGATGGATTTCTTTCTTTTTTTATTTTGAATAGTGTTCAAGTGTGCTTTTGGGTGATCTCTGAAATATACCAGAATTTACCCAGATGTATGTACAATAACATTTCATTTCTTTTCATTTCTTGCTTGTTTCATTTCTTCTCATGTGTCCTTGCTTTCGCTTTTGTTTATTGATATTTTCTTTTTTAAGCTAAAACCTCTTATCATGTCAGAGATGCCAATGGCCAGTCATAGGTATCTAGACTTACCTGTATCAGGAAGGTTTTAAGGCCAGGTATTTCTATTAACATAATACTCGTAAACCTGCTGGCTTGATTCCCTGACCTATCCTTTTTTTCTCCTTCTGCTGCTACTATCTGGCTTGCTGTGCAGTGTTCCCTCTTACTCCCTATGAAGCAAAGAAACACCTACTAGATTGCAAGAGATGTCAGGTGATTGAAGTGCCAAGGTAAAAAACAAAACAAAAAAACAAATCCATGCCTTTTGTAAGTTAGTAATGTTGGTGGTCACTGCATCATAATCACTGATAAATTATGCATCATTCTTCTTAGTAACTGAAACAGAGAGAGGATGTTGTTAGAGTAGTGGCTTCCAGGTTCTCTTGATATCAAGGTCACCCATCTACACATGCGCTTAAATGTACATTTGCTTATTAAAGCATCACTTAAAATGAGCTTTTTAGTTAATGCGCATTAAAATAGGCTAGCGCACATTAACTGGAGAGCATGCTTTTTAAGTGATGCTTAATGATAGGCTAAGATGGGCATTAAGACAGGCTGATGTGCGTTTTCCTAGCACCTCACAATGGAGGTACTAGATTTAATGCACACTAACGAAAGTGTAGAAGCACCCAGTTCACCCCTCTGTGGAGAGGTTGTTTGTAAAATACTTTCACAAATGCTAGAGAATTACAACTGGGTTAAAAATACTGACACCCTAAGTAACGAATTGATAATGTTTCATTTTAACATGATGTTTTTCATTAAAAAGAAGTCACTGCTGTCATGACAGATACAGCGTCTCAGAATTCAGTGAAAGCAGCCAGCAGTAAAACCGCTGTCAGCAGGCTGCAACACATTACTGAAAATTAAATAGCTGTAATCTAAGAGAGAAATTTGCCACGTGTAAAGAACAAAGCTTTTAGAGGTCTAAACAAACTGTACTTTCATTTTAGTTTTAATTAAAAATTGTGTTTATAGAGCTTCAAAAAATATTTGGAAACTAAATTTGTCTCTGTTTTAAATGTCAGGATTAAGTGTCAGTTAAGGTCAGCATCTGAAGATGTGGTCTGTAGCCTAATCCATGCTGCAGAAGAATTCTGCAGCAATGGGTAGATGGCTAGTATATAACAGTTGGGTCATCACAGGATGGCCACCCACCGTTTTTACACACTGATGTTTGAGGTGTACTCAAGGTGTGTCAGATACCACTGTGCTATCTGTTAATAAACACTGGCTTTTCCATGGAGACTTCTGTATTTCATAAAGATTAATCCCTACAAGAATTTGCTACTTAGTCTAAATAAATAAGATAAAAGATTAGGAAATCCAGAATTAATTTTAGACCTTCAAGAAACCTCAACATTCCCTTTTTTGTAGGTGGATTACTGAAACCATGCACTATAGGATATTGATTTTTACAGTCTCTTACATATATGTGTCTGTGATGTTAAGCATGTTGCTTTGTTAAAGCACCACCTTTTAACTCTGTTCACTTAAGGAATGCGTTCATATATGTGTGGCACATAATTTTATGATTATGTTAATATTGACTCTCCCAGTTTCCCTGGGTTTTGGGAAAGGATTTTAATTTGGAGGGGGTCATAGCTTTATTCATTAGTGCTGTGTGAAGCTTTGGTCCTTGACTCGATTTGGTGGAGTTTCGGCCAAATTTAGTGGCTGAATCTCTGAATCCAAATTAAATCAGAGGACCCTTTAATCTCTTCAAATCGAATCGGAACCCTCTGAATTGACTAGGAGATTCGGACATAGACACAGCTTTAAATGTTTTTTCTACATACCTCTAGGTAGCAGGCGGCTGGTAAGTGCTGTGATGCTGGGGTGCATAGAGTGTCCCACAAGAGTGTGGGGGGGCTCCCCAGCACACTTGGGAGCAGACCCAGAAGTGGACCAGAAGCACTTCCGTCCCTCCCCAGCTTCGCAACTGGTGTCTCCTGGGTCTAGGGGGAGCACCCGGGGTCCCCCCACAGCCAATCGCCGAGCCAGGGTGTGGGGGGCCCCTGTGTGCTCCCTGGCAGACCCAGAAGTGGACCAGAAGTATTTCAGGTCCACTTCTGGGTTCTCCACCAAGCATGTGGAGGGCCCCCCCCGCACTCCGTTGGGATGCTTTATCCGCCCTGGCATCGCAAAGATCACGAGCCGCGCTGGTACCTCAAGGTATGTAGAAAAAACATTTAAAGCTGTGTCTATGGCTGAATCCGTGATTCTCCGTATCGGCATCAAATCTTCAGATTTGGATTCAGCTGAATCGAATCAGGGACAGTGATCTGAATTAACTAATCAAATCTCTGTCCCTGATTCTGGCCAAATCTGAATTGAATGGGGCCTGCTTTGCACACCCCTATTATTCATCTCTTTAGGAAAGACTCCCACATCTCATTTGTCTGATAAAATTAAGCTCTTGTGAAATTTCTCCCTTTTCCTCATTGCTAAGTCTCCATTTTTGAACTCATCTCTATAATTAATTCATCCTTCTCCACATGAAATCTAGGTGATATTGACCCACCCTTTTAAATCATTCTGAGAGTACTGTTTCAAACCTCAATTTTGTGAAGGAATGTATATGGCTAGGCTATGTTTTCGCTGTAAGATGGCAGTGAAAACCTACTCAAATATAAGAGTCTTCTGGTTCAGAGTTGCTTATAGATTTGAGGCCTAAAATCTTAATTTTTAGTTAGAGCCTGATCAAGAAACAGTTGATTCAGTGTACTATATCTTGAAAAGTAAATCCAAAAATCTAAGTATTTCCTATCTTTCAGTTTTTTATTTTAAACAAAGTGGCTCAAATGGTAATTTTACATGCATTATAAAGTTGATAAAAACCCCTCTGAGCCCTAGACCTAAATGTTGATATTTCTCTGTCTGTAGACTGTAGAGAGTAGGCCAAAACTTAGACTTATAAAAAAACAAACAAGCCCTCATATGTAAACTTAATTGAGGGCTGGCTACTGCCACTCCATTATAAGCAGTATGAAAATTAGCTTTCAAGTGTCTCCTTTGTTGATGTCTAAAGTGTTTCTTTATATCAATGCAACAAAACAACCTATTAGTTCAGACTATAATCTTTTTTATTATGTACTATGGTGCCTTTACACAACTACATAAAAAACCTAATGTTTGTACACTGTGGGTAATATGTATCTTGTAACATATCCTTAACAGGTTGTGGAGGATATTTCATTTGGTGCAGAAGATCGTTTGTCTGAGGTAAGTGTTTTCTGGAGACTATAAAGGGCAGGGAAATTTGTACAGATTTCCTGGGGATTCCTTGAAAACAGATGATACATCTTTTGATAATATTACTGTTGAGTAAAACTTGCACCATAATGTGCAAATATTTAGGAGAGCAATGGTGATGCTACAAGTAAGGGCCCAATCTTGCTCTCATTGAAGACATAAAAATTAGTTTTGACCATTTTGTAGTTCTTGTTGAACAAATTACTTTTATTTTCAGAAGCAGATGCTAGTATGTGACTGTCCAACTTCACAGCAGCCAGGGCCACACACTGCACTGGTTGCAGGCCCTAGGCTACACACTGCACAAGCTGCATGGTACAGGGCCACATGGGTGCCCCAGCACCCCACCACATGCAGCACTCCCACCCCTCGCCACTACCACGATGCTGGTGAGCACACCCCTACTGCTGCCATATGAGCCCATTGCATGGGCGATTCCCTCCTCCCCCATCACTGCCACACAAGCAGTGTAAGTACCCTGCCTGAGCCCCTGCACTGGCACCACTACACAGGCAGCAAGCTCGCATGGCCTCCCACCATGCTCCCTTGCCACTGAGCCTCTGGCCACTGCAGCAGTCAGAGCAATGGGGAGAGTGGTGGCTGGATGAGAACCTGCAGGTTGCACATGACCCCTTGCAGGTCAGGTGCAGCCCACAGGCTACCAGTTGGACAGTCCTGTGTTGGTATATACTGTTAAATGTATATGGCATGGTATGCAGAAACTTTATGTAGGTAAACTTTCTGGAAGCTTGTCATTTTGTTTTTCAACCTTTTCATAAAGATGTCAGAGCCTGTAGTCTGTAACTTTGAGTAAGCCCTAGATTAATCAAGCAGTTGAAGGTGTTCCTTATTAAAAAAAAGTAAATGAGGGACAGTCTTAGTTTTTGTGAACTGAGTGGTTAGATAAACCTTTAGTTACATTTGCATGGGCCTTGGGAGAGTTACAGATTCTCAATGACACAATTATGTTGCACTGAAACATATATTGAGAAAGTTTAGAGGCCATGCATCACTTCCAGCAAGCAAATTATACAGGTGAGTATACCCTATTTCACATCCCCAAATAGTATATGTTTCATCTGCCAGATGAGAACATGCCCCCTGCTACCTAGCTATGCACATTCAAACATGGATTGTCACTAGGTTGCATATGGGGGGAGCTATTTGGACCAGCTACTTCTCAGTGTTCCCACCCATAAATTCAAAGGCTGCCCAGAAGCTGGAGCTCTACCTCAATTCACTGTCCTTTCATGCAAACAGACTGTGGGATTACACCCAAATGAGGCTATGCACGCCCTGGAAAATTCTACTGTGCAAGATAGAAGTGTAAATGGGAACTGTAAGCTTTGGGGTGAAGGTTATCTCAGCAGAAAATAAGCTCCAGAAGATGCAAATTGCCACTTCTGCCAGTGGACTCAGCTGTGAATCAGAATGAAGCTATTCACATGCCTATGAATGGTGTTGACATATAAAAGGAGTACACAGTCCCACAGGCACCAAGACAGTGAAAGCACCTGTTGTCAGAAAAGAATGACAACAATAGTACATGGACAGTGTCCAGCCATCAGTCACATGCAGCTGCCAAGACAGCACAGACTTTACAAGATAGTACAAGCGGCATATGGCTTCAAGCAAAGAATGTAAACACCATCAACAGCCTATTGCACAGCAGTGATTCTCAGGGAAAGATGCTGGAGAACTCAGAAGCAGGTTGGCCTCTAGAGTCAACGTCCACAAGACAGAAGACGCACCCAAAAGCACAGACTATGCCGCACTTATACTTATGACTAAGAGCCAGGAAAGCAGAGGAGCAGGGAGGATGATCATTTGAGAAACCTTCCCACCACTACATTCACCACAACAATCTTAGATAATCACATACAGAAAAAAAACCTCTCCTCCTGAAGTTTTGAGAGGAAAAACAAAACAAAAGGAGTAGGAAGGGATAGCACAATCGGAGGAAGTGGATACTGGGGCTAGCAACCCAGACTGTACTGCAGGAAGGCAAGCCACAAGTCCCTCTCTCAGAATGTCAAACTGGAAACTCTTCTGCAGATGATTCGGGATACTCTCAGTATGCATACAAAGGCAGGCCTATAGAGACATGGCCTTCGTACACAGTTCACTTACTCCAACTCTACTAGGTTTTATCCACAAGTTATAGAGTGTGACCTTCATAGTCATTCTAGTCTGCTGGATCCTGGTGACTAGCCAGAGAAAGGAGCTTCTTACAGTGTGAAACAACTGCAAATGTTATCAAGTTTTGTCAACTCCTTACATTGCAGGGTGTAGAATTCAGAATGCAATTTCTATGAAAAGTCTTGGCCCATTGCAGATTATCCCTTTCAACCTAGTAAACTGCGTCACTCCCAAGGACATCCTGTCAGAACAGAAACTGGAGTTGTCTAAGATGCATTGAATGAGACTAAATAGTAGTCTATTATGGTGTTTAAAAGCCTGCTCTGACCAGAGACACTGTTTACTGAAATGGGACAAGAGAGGGAAATCTGATCTCACAAAATGTGACCAAATGCCTGCATGACTGAACACTGGAAGACAGGAAAGATCTATCCCTGTGTGGAAAATCCTCCAATAACTATAATGGAGCCAGCATGAGGGGAATAGGTTGATCAGGATTACAATATGCTGTTGGCAACCATTAGCATACTCAAGTACTATGTGTGACTATAGAAGAAGAAGACAACAGATCAGGTTAAGGGAAGAAAATGTAGGAAGTTTGAGACAGTAGTGAGAAAGTGTTGCATAATTGCAGAGTAGCTGTCTGGAAACTTTTTTACTGGAATCACTGTACTTAGGAAGCTGTGGTGCATGTTGCGATGTTACAGACTCTGGAACACCACATGTACATGTGGCAGTTTCTTAGTTGGTAATAACTGGTTTATGGAAATGGTTGAAGAAATGGTTAAGCTGCAAGTAGAAGAAAATGGTCATGAAACAATGGAGTTCATACTTCTTAGGAATCGAAAGTACAAGAGCAGAAGGTTGCAGCCAGTGGACTTCAAAAGAGCAGACTTCAGCACCCTCAAAGTAAGGTCTCACAGGAAGGTATTCCGTGAGGGAAAAGGAATACCCAATGTCCTGCAATTTACAACAAACAGTCCCTTCTGATTCAGAGGGGAGGAGGGGAAGAACATTGGTAACATGTTAATATGGCTACACCACGAGCTATAGAATGACCTGCAAAAATAAAGAGAAATTATACAAAATATTGAAGCCAGAACACATTACTAAGGATTAATTTAAAGAAAGGCACATATGGATTAAATCAGGTAGACTGAGGCACCAAATGAACTACAACTCGTGTAGAACATAAAAGGCAACAAGCAAATTTCCAGAAATATGTTAGGCCTAAGAGAAGGACAACGGTATGTAGGTCCATTACTTAATAGGGATGGTACTCGGAGGAAATAAATAATGGTTGGCACAGACAAGAGGGATATGTTGAATGCTTTTTTTTTGCTTTGGGCTTTGCAAAACAGTACATTTTGATCTCATGCTTAACACACTATTCAAAAGGAGGTAGGAACACAAGACAGAATTAAGTAAACAACATTTAAGTAAGTTAGATGTATTCAGGTAAGCAGGCTGTGGGGAAATTTTTTCTGAAGTACTTAAAGAAGGATTCAACCACCTTTTTAGGAGTGGCAGGCTCGATTAATGGAAGTAAGTCTGAAGGAAGGCTGCCAATGCCACAGTTCCTGCCTGCCGAATTTCCACCCACCTGCCACTGACATCCCAGCTTTGGAGGCCAGCTACAATCATTTGGCAGGCTGGATCTGGCCCACAGACTGTAGGTTGCTGCCCGCTGACTTAAAGAACTAGCTGAAGCAGTCTCTGAACTATTATTAGTTATCTTTGAGAATTCATAGAAAACAGTGAAGTTCCAGTGAGCTGGAGAAGGGCAAACCTAGCAATTTTCTTACAAAGAGGACTCAGGAAACGATAGACAAGCAAGCCTGTTTTCAGTAACCAGAAGGATAATGGAACAAATTATTAAACAGACAATTAGTAAGCACCTAGCCTAGGGACAGAAATTACACACAAACTGGTATAAGTGATTGGAAACTGGTCTAAACCTGTAAGGGAACAGAAGTTCAGTGCACACAGACCAGTTTCAAATTGACCAGACTCAGTTTAAGATAGACCTGGATGGATGTAGTATCAGATTGAATCAGTTCAGGTTAGAGTGGTCTATTGAACTTCTGTCCCGAATCTCAGCAAATCAGCCTAGTTCCCTGATGCTCCTCCACCCTCCCCTGCACCCCAGATCCTCACTTACTTTCCCCATGCCCCCTGATTAGCTGTGGCTGCCTGTGCTTTTTGTCCCAGGGAGCAGGCAGAAAAGAGTTAAATTGCTGGGATCTCCTCTTCTGCCCCAGAGAGCAGCAGCTGCCATAGCCAGACATGCAATTGAACCCTTACCCATCCTGCCTGTCTCAGGGAGCAGGCAGGGAGCCACAGGTAATAAGGGGGTGGGGGAGGAGTAAGCATGGAGATGGGGGTGCAGGGCAGTGGACCCAATCCAAGCCAGCAGTGGAGGGGGGGCAGACCCTGGCTTGGCACCCCCTGCAGGTTAGAGAGTGGCAAGGGGCAGGGCTGAGCAGCCAGCCTAGCCATGTGAGCTGTGGGGGGAGGGGGGTGGAATCAGCCTCAGCATAGGGTTCCCTGTAGCTGGCAAGACCCTGGCTCAAGGGGAGTATGGGCCAGGGTGGGGGAAACTCCCTGAGGCATGTGGCTTTCTCTGCTGGATAGACCCCAGCTCTGCACCAGGACGGGGGCTCCTTCTCACTCCCTTGTGGGGAGACAGCAGGTGGTTGGGGGCATGCTTGGCAGCCAGTAAGGGATGCCTCTTGCTCTAGGGATGCCCCTTGCTCTAGTGGGCTTGGCTTGGCTTAGCAATGACTGGCAGGTTGGGAGGCATGCTTGAGCACCCCTCTGCCTTCTGGTCT